CGACCAGCCGCGGCGAGGGGGCGCCAATGCCAGGCCCGACACCAGGACTCGCTATTTTGAACTCCCCTCATGATGAACAAAAAAACGTTGACGCCAACGCTCAGCCCTGGCCCGGGTGAATTTCAAGGCTGGGGTTTCGGAATCGGGCTTCGTTTGGGGGTTAAGGACGACAGTATGCCGTGTTCCGAAATATTCAGCCGAATTCTGATGCCCTTTCAGCTTGTGATTTTAGGAGTCGGGGGCTCGTTTCCTTACAGCCCAGGAGTTGGCGAAGTATATAGTGGAGGAGATTCGTGACCACATCGACCAGACTGAGAAGGGCGGCGCCGAGAACGCCGGCGCCGTGCTCGAGTGCCCTATCTGCGGGAGAATTCTTTCGAGGCCGCAGAGGGCGCGGGAGCATGCGAAGAGCCATCTGGAGGGCAAGTTCGCGTGCATCCACAAGACGCTCCTGACCGATGTGCAGATCTCGCACCCAGTGATCGCGGCGGTGCAGCGCTCCCTGTACGACCACGACATCCTCGCGGGTTGCCCGCGCAGCGGCTACGCGTCCCGCGCGAGGTCGCTCATCCAGGGGTGGATCGGCTTCACCGCGACACCCGGTGGGAGAGATTCGCTCTACACCGCGACGGGCCACAAGCGCGACTGCGACCTGAGACTGGTCCTGACTGACACCGGCCCGCAATATTGGTTACATTCCGACGAGAGGCTCCGCTTCGCTCGGAAGTTCGGCGGCCACTACTACACTATGGCGTTCGGTAACATGTACGCGCGCTTCTTGCTCGACGCAGGAGGGGTGCACGGCCGCGCTTTCCGCTCTCTCAAAGCGGCATGGGCCCGCGGTGGCTGCGAGGTGGGATCGCTCGCCAACCGGCACACTGGCACCATGATAGCGCTGATGTTGGACATTGCCGAGTCGAAAGCCTTCGAAGACTTTGTGGGCGCACAGGTTCTGAAATGCGCTGACGTCGGCGGCCTCAGGCCCATCTCTATCGACGCGACGTACAAGGTCGCACTCAAGGTTTCCGGACAGACCCGCGCGCAGAAGCACAACGTGTTCAGCGTGATCGGATGCCATGGCGAAGTGTTGGGGCTCGCTCCCGGGCACGCAGAGCGCCCAGAGGCATTCGCCGGCGCAGTGGAGCGCTCGGTGCCCCCCGAGCTCCGCTCGCGCGTCGAGCACGTGGCGAGCGACGTCGTCGGGCGCAAGGTTTGCGAGGAGATGCAGAAGATTCTCCCGAATTTGCAGTGCGTATCCCTTGACCCGTTGCACCTGGCGTTCTCCGTGGACACCCACACCTCTAAGCGCCGCATGCGACCGACCGCGGTCGGCCTCGTCATGCGGGCTGTCTTGGGGAAGTTCTCCGTGGCCGACTACGCGCGGAGGCGCGAGCCGTTTCACTGGGGCACTGGCGCGGCCAGGGCATCCGCTCAGGAGCAAGCATTCATCGAGCGCATACGGGGGGGCGACATGGGGCACCGCCGAGCGAAGAGCATCCTCAGCGACATGGACCCTAACGCGCCGATGCAGTCCAGGGAGCAGTTTGCCATGTTGATGGCGGCCATCGCGCGCGTTTACCCGGAGCGGATGGACGTGCAGTACGATAAGGGCACACTCCGGGCGCAGTTCATTGCGGCGTGTGCCCCCGATCGAGCGGAATTCTACATGAACAACATCCGCTACAGGGCGCGGCTCACGCCGGAGGAGAACAGCTCTCTCGGCGTTGGAACGACTCGCAACGAGCAGATACACTCGTGCATCAACGCAAATTTCCGCCAGTTGACTCGCGTGGATGCCAGGACCATGAAGGCCGAGCTCGCGCTGTGGGCGGGGTGCGAGACCACGCTGGCGTCGAGGGCTTTGGGCGGCAGGACGACCTCGAGGGTGCGGCGCGCCGATATGAAGGCGACCGTGGTCAACTCAGTCTCGCTGTTCGACGCTGAGAACTGGCCGGTGCACGTGGGCCTAGATGAGACGGAGTACCAGGCTTCCGCCCCTCCTGTGGAGGGCGATTTGCGCCCGCGCAGGCGCGGGCCGTCCCGCGTGCAAGAAACTATCTTGCAGGCCATTAGGGCGAAGGTGAACAAGTCGACCAGGAAGAAGCTGTTTGACCTCTCAACCAACAAGCGGTCGATCTAAACGCTAACCGAAGAGTTGCCTCTCGCAGCCTGCGGGCCGCAGTGTTTCAATGCGCCAGTGTAAGCAGGTCTGGTGCAAGTGTACAGCGGGTGCGAGCGCGGCCCTGCGCTGGCCGGGATGACATGCGCGACTGCCGCGCAACGCCGCGCTGGAAGCCCGCGGCGTCTGGCTCGACGCACGATGCGCGGGTGCCATGCGCGGCCAAGGGTGCACTTAATTCAGTTAGGATTTACACGGCGATCGGGCGTCGCCCGACGGAGGGGGGGGCAGCCGAGATGGCCACTGCCCTGCACTGGAGGGGCATGTGCAGAGGGTGAGTGGCTGAGCAGGCCAATACGCGGGATTGAGAGCTTGAGCATATGTTCATACTGTTTCGCCTCGCGATCGTCATGGGTAAAACAGAGCTGCCTCTCTTCAAACGCAATCCACTTTCTAGCTGTAGGTCGGACCCCAAGGGGCCGATCGGACAGTTTTCACAACTCTTGGACAATGGACATCACACTTGTTTCGACCCCCGCTTGTGGCTAAGAAAGCCCCGATAGGGTCCAGGAATTGATCCCAAGATGACCCCGATAACGTCTTCAATCCACAAAGAAGGTGCTCAAGAGACCCCCTGAGGGCCCAAAGAGGTTCCCATGATGTCTAAAACGGCTCCAAGAGATTACGCGCGCGCTGTTGTTGTTTCTGTCGGTATGCGCGTCGTACATTCGTAGTTGTATCATGTGTACTGGTATTTGTCATGATGCCTATACTATGTTTCTACATGTCTCTGTATATCTGCATAACACATACACATATATGCCATCTGTTTTCTATGACCATGTATGTATGTATTTCTATGAATATATACATATATATATATGAATATATATCTATATTAATATATATATATTAATATATATATGTATATATATATTAATATATATATATAGTATATATAAAATATATGGTATATTGTTTATGTGTGTATTACGACGGATCAACCTTACGAAGTTTAAGAACAAATCATTATGTCCTGCCCCGAAACGGTCCTGGGGGGGGGGGGCGGACGCGGCCATATGCCAACCAAATAAGTGAACCAAGCCCTGCGCTCTCGGAGGGTCTTCGGTTCACTTATTTTCGGTACCCAGAAGTCCCAGGGATCTGCCCCAAACAGCCCAAGACAGCCGCGGGGAGCCCCAAGAGAGGGCCTCGTGGCGCCCCGAGACGGCCAGGATGTCCACGGAGACCGCAGGAGGCCACAGGGGTTTCCAGAACATCCCAGAAGGCCCCAGGATATCTCAGTAGGTTACAGGAGGTACCAGGATATCACAAGAAGCCCCAGAAGGCCCCAGGAGGCTCCATAATGCATCAGGAGGTCCCAAGCGGGTCCAGACGGTCCTATGAGGCACCAGGAAGTTTCAGGAAACCTCAGGAGGTACCAGGGGCTCCAGAAGGCATCAGGATGCCCCATGGGATCCAGAAGGCCTCAGGATGCCCCATGTGTTCCAGAAGGCTTCAGGGGGCCCCATGGGCTCCAAAAGGCCTCAGGGGGCCCCATGGGCTCCAGGAGGCCTCCAGGAGGCCTCAGGAGGCCCATCCGGGGGGATACCCGTATCCCCTCCTGGTCGGCCCGACGGGAGGGAGGGAGGGGGAGGGAGGGAGGGAGGAGGGAGGGAGGAGGAGGAGGAGGAGGAGGAGGAGGGAGAGGAGGAGGAGGAGGAGGAGGAGGAGGAGGAGGAGGACCCCCCTCCCCCTCCAACTCATGGTGGTGGTGGTGGAGGCCTTCCCAGGGCGAACGAGCCCACGCCCTCGCGGTCGGGCCTCCGGGGCGCAAAGCCGCGGATGCGAGGGCGCACGGAGGCCCTCCGGGCGGGGGGGGGGGCGGTCCCGCGAGGACAGCGGGCCGCGGCCCCCGGGGCCCGGCCCGCGGGGCCGTGGATATGGACCCAGACATCCGAGGTCTCCTCGCCTTTCTCGGGCGTTGGCAGAACTGGGTTTAGTGGAACCTGGTTTAGTGATCTGTACCGGGGGCGCCCCCCCGCCCCATTTCCACTAACCGGAACTGCCGTCACCTGAAAAAACACCAGCTGCGGCAAACCTGGTTTAGTGATCCTGGCCAATTCGAAGGCTCCGGGGCCCTACCACTAACCGGGTCCCCTTACCTGGGGTCCTGACCATACCCGCCTTTCTCCATCCTGAAGGTCATTTGCGAGTCGCCTTGGCTCTTCCTCTCCTCTTCCTCGTCGACTTTGTGCAGGTGTCCCTGACTTTCCAAGGCCTCCTTGACTTTTCTGTTCCTTGCCTCCAGACTCCTCCTCTTGAAGAGTCTCGACCTTCTCCCCTAAGGCTGGCTTGCATCCCGAATCGTTCGTGGACGGTCCTGGAACCCAGCGAACTCGCCAAAACAAATTCCTTGTGAACGTTGCGGCGTTTCGACATTGGGCGGAAGGGGGGAGGGGGAGGGGGGGTGGGTCTGGCTCTGGACCTCTGCTTCATGCAATTGGTTGCAACAGTGCGTCCTATGGGGGATACCCCACCTGCTCGAAAGGGGCGCCGAAAGCAGACGAGATCTGCTCCAGGGGGAGGGGTATGGGGGGGTGCGAGGGCCCGCGCCAATCGCCAAAACAGTGACTAAGAAAACGATCACCTTCCGAAGTTTTGCTTCATGACGCGAGCATGTCTGAAGGGGCCCAAGGACACACAAATAAATATACACAGATAAAACCATTCCCCATATTTTCCCATAGTTTCTGGTTTTTTGTCTTCCCCCCCACTTCCCGTATTTTCCCATATTTTCTGGGGAATCGACGATTAATTGTGTCTATGTGTTTTTTCTCCTCCTGAATGTCTGGAGGCACGTCTCCCGCCCCGCGAGCGCCGCCGAGGCTGTGCCCCATCAGGCCGTACTCCTGGTCGAAGATGCCCAGCTGGTGCATCAGCGACCTTCTGTGCGGCAGCTCTCGCGGGAGCCTCCCCAAACAGCCAGTTGGCTCTTGCGAATCGGCGCGCATCGATGCGAATCGACGCCACTAGAAGGAGACAAAACGACACTAGCATAAACTTGTGGCGCTCCGCGCGGATTTCTTGGATCTGCGCTGGACACCCCTCCCTGGCGCGCGGAGCGCGCCAGGTGCGGCGCCGGAGGCGCCACGGGGGGGGATCCAAGAAATCCGCGCGGAGCGCCAAACAGTCATGATTATGCCGTTTCTTTCCTTCGAGCCACATCGCCGCTAATCGACGCTAACTGACGCTGAATCGGCGCCTTCTCCTCGATCACCAGACGCTAATTGACATCAGCGCACTCAAAAAGACGGAGTTACGAGGGTATGCAAGTCTCTCAGGATCTTGCCATCGCTCGGACGTCCATCTCTGTGCATGCTTCGGTTGCGTGCGTGCTTCTTGGGCACAGATCACCAAACAAGACCCTCGATGGTCCACGCCGAGAAAAAATGCACACTGGGGAAACCGACATGTACCGGTACTGCTACCCCCTGGACCTCTCCGGGGATGCGTTCTGACCAGAATTTCGAGGCGAATGCAGCGGTGGTGACGAGGGCCTCCCATCAGGGGGGCGTAAGACCCGGGTACAGGGGACTCGGAAATCCCCGACGAGGTCGTCAAAAAAATGACGAGGCCGAGCCTGCATTTTGACGAGGCCTCCCGCTGCAGACATCCCACGAAACTCCTACTCGTCAAAATCCGAGTCGCGGTCGTCAAAAAACGATGGCGAACCCGAGTCCTGGCAAACCCGGGTCTTACGCTCCCCCGATCCCAGGAGGCCCAAAAAGGGGCAAACGGACGAGGGGTAGCGGTATGGGTACCTTGTCCTTCTCTGACACACGCCCGAGCGACGCCAAGATGATTTGCGATCGAGCGACCTGATGGCCGACGCCATCGCGCGCAGGTCCTCCAGCCCGGCCGCGGCCTGCTCCGAGCTCCCGTGCCCCGGCAGGTCCACCTCCAGCAGGCGGCAGCCAGGGAGCTGCCCCTCCAGGCGCTGGTACCAGCAACCCGCCATCAGCGAGCCTGAACATGTCCAAGCCTCCTCCTCCTCCTCCTCCTCCTCCTCCTCCTCCTCCTCCTCCTCCTCCTCCCCCTCCCTCCTCACTCACCTCCTCCTCCTCCTCGCCTCCCCACCCTCCTCCTCTCCTCCTCCTCCTCCCTCCTCCTCCTCCTCCTCCTCCTCCACTTCCTCCTCTCTCCTCTCCTCCTCCTCCTCTCCTCCTCCTCCTCCTCCTCCTCCTCCACTTCCTCCTCCTCTCCTTCCGTCCCCTCCTCCTCCTCCACCTCCTCCTCCCCCTCCTCCTCCCTCCTCCTCCTCCTCCTCCTCCTCCTCTCCTCCTCCTCCTACTCCTCCACCTCCTCCTCCTGCTCCTCCTCCTCCCCCTCCCTCCTCCTCCACCTCCTCCTCCCTCTCCTCCTCCTCCTCCTCCCTCCTCCTCCTCCTCCTCCCTCCTCCTCTCCTCCTCCGCCTCCGCCTCCTCCGCCTCCTCGCGCCTCCTCCTCCTCCTCCGCCTCCCCCTCCTCCTCCTCCTCCTCCTCCTCCTCCTCCTCCTCCCCTCCCCCTCCTCCTCCTCCTCCTCCTCCTCCTCCCTCCTCCTCTTCCTCCGCCTCCGCCGCGCCGCCGCCGCATCCCGCCCGCCTCCGCTCCTCCTCCTCCTCCTCCTCCTCCTCCTCCTCCGCCTCCACCTCCTGCCTCCTCCTCCTCGTCACACTCCTCCTCCGCCTCCTCCTCCTCCTCCTCCTCCCTCCTCCTCCTCCCGTCCACCTCCTCCACCTCCTCCTCGCTCCTCCTCCTCCTCCTCCTCCACTCCTCCTCCTGCCTCCACCTCTCCTCCTCCTCCTCCTCCTCCTCCTCCTCCCCTTTTTCCTACTCCTCGCTCCTCCTCATCACCACGTTTCCTCCCTCCCCTCCCTCTCCTCCCTCCTCCTCCTCCTCCCTCCTCCTCCTCACTCCTCCCCTCTCCACCTCCTCCCTCCTCCTCTACCTCCTCCTCCTCCTCCTCCTCCTCCTCCTCGTCCTCCTCCTCCTCCTTCCTCTCCTCCACCTCCTAACCTTTTCTCCTCCTCCTCCTCCTCCTCCTCCTCCTCTCCTCCTCCTCCTCCTCCTCCTCCTCCTCCTCCTCCTCCTCCTCCTCCTCCTCTTTTTTTGGCAGCAACGCCGCGACCTCTGTGCACAGTGCTTGCTCAACCAGTCCAGAGGCGCAACTGGCAGGCACTGAAACCTGTACCTTACAGCAGCGGGATGAATTCGTCGATGTCGACGAACACACCCTTCTTATCAGGGTGCAGGCCTCTACGGAGCTTACGCATGTTCTTCACACCAGTCACCGTAGGAGGGGCGCACTTACGCCCAAGGCCTAACACAACTCCACCGCTGCTATAAAACTTGCACGACATGCAAAGGAACAGGTGATAATTATCAGTGCATGGGAACGCGATCACCCTATGCCCGAGACGCTCCAGAAAACACCTGTCGAGCCTGCTGCGGCCCGCACACTCCGAACCGCCACACGGCCAGGAAGAAGCTCTGGAGCCTCGCAAACACACACGGCACCTCCAAAAACTTCCCTGGCGTTCCCAATCGTGCTCAAGCGTGAGCCGAGATGAACTCGGTGGCTTCGGCGGCTGGGCCCGCACTAAGCCACGGAACTCGACTTTGGGCCAGAGCGGGAGCAACGCTGCTCCGCCCATCAGCACGGCCCTCGCAATCTCTAGCGTGCGACTTAAATCATCAGCCTCCGTCGGCGCCATGGTCGGGTGGCGCCTAGCACCCTCCTTCGCCGCGACGTCGGCATGCGCGTTACCCAACCTCCGAAAGCGCTCCTCCGCCGACAAACCCTCATCCTCCACATCTTTGTGGGCCGCCACTTTGTGGAAGCCCTCGCAGAAGCGGCCAACATGGTGGCGAGCTCGGATGACAAAGCCAGCATACTGTCGGGCTGGGCCTATAGCCTCAGCGCCTCCAAGATTCTGCAGCAGCACCACGCTAGCACATTCTGAGTAGCACTGAGCTGGGCCCTCTGTCTACAACGCCGCCCAGGCAAGGGCCCCGAATTCAGCAGCCTGGGGGGTCTGAGGCCAAGGAGCCCAGATGGGGCCTTTGGTAACCCCTACCAGCTCCCCAGACTCCGAAACCATGACAACAGACCACCCCGCCCTAGACAGCTCTCTAACCTGATGCCTAGTACAGGACCCATCCATGAAAATGTGCCCCCAGACGCCGCCCCTGGGAACGATGGAGGGGGGCGAGCCTGGCCTGGCAGGATCAGGGAGCAGGTCCGCATACCACTCCACCGTGACACCGTCGGGCGAGATAGCAGGCTTGGGAGCCCAATCCCCAGGATGTCTAAACGCACCATGAAGCCACAGAACTCTGACCTCGGGGTCGTTCTCTGGCACCTCAAGCGCCGCTTGCTGGATCCACTTCGGCATGTGCTCGTCCCGCTCGGCCTGCACGCACGGGCACACCCAGCGGCGGCGAAACAGGGTGTCCTTGGCGCCGCAGCCCAGCGGGCACAAGCTGGAGATGGGGTAGCCTAGGTCAGCGGCGTCGCTTGCAGTCCAACAGGCATTGGTGGCAAGAGCACGGATCATACCCTTCTGAACCCCAGGAATTTTCTTGGAAGCGAAAAGCCTCTTCGGAACGTCCCAGCAGAGACGAAATCCAGCCCGAAACTTGTCCCCCGACTCCCGCTCGAGACTCCTAAAGGTCGCCTCCTTGCAAAAAAAGCTTCACCAGCTTTGGCGGCGACAGCGTAAGAGAAATCTCGCGACCGAAATCGTCAACGAGGGCGGTGAAATTGGGCATGGTCCACCCAAGCCTGTACAACGACATTCTCAGCCCCGAGATGGGTCCCGAAACTTTGGCCCAGGTCCAGTCCTCCTTATCGAAAACAGAACTCCAACCAGCCCGAAGTTCAGCCCGACTCAAGGCCCACTCAAAGGCCCTCGTTTGACGAATCCACACCTCCTTGGCCCAGCGGGTGATGGGGGGACAACTGGCCCTCCACGTGGGGCCCCCTTCTAAAAGACACAAAACCGAAAAGGGACCTTCCCTGGGCAGAAGGTTTCACGCACGACATGGCCATGCGTCGAAGCGACAGCAGCTCACGGTCAGAGACCCCGCGCACGTCCGACCCGTAGACCGCCCCCGCTAAGGGACCCGAAGCGAAAACCTTGACCACCTTGCGGCCCAGCGTGGGGCCCAACTTCCCGAGACGACGAGCTTTCCTGAGAGCCGCAGCAGCCCTCTGCTTGACTTTGGCACTCCTGTTCTTTCCAGGAGCTCTGACCGCTCTGCCCGCAGTGTAACCCACACCTAAGTTGGTCACGCGAGTGCAGACTGGATCGCCGACTAAGCCCCCGAGCTCGGCAAAGAGCGCAGCCGAAACGTCCTTGCTGCTGGAGACCATGCCAACCTTATCCATAGCCAGCTTGCACTTGAGCGTCGACGTGATCGCAGAGTGCAGAGCTCTGGCGCCTGAAACTAGATGCTCCAAACCAATGCTGGGCTTGCCATTCGCGCTGAGGCTTAAATCGTCAACGTACACATCAAAATCAGGTCCCCTCGGAATGGAGTCGAAAGCCTCCAAAGCAAACGCCCGAATAAGGCTCGTCGCGAAGGTGCAACCCGCGACGACCCTTTTAGGGCGAAAAACGGGCCACCGACGATTCCCCCCAAGGTCATGAATCTCGCGCACGAGTATGCGTGAATGGCAAGGCGCGCGATGCCTAGGGGAAACTGGTGCTGCTTGCACTTAGCCCAGAGAAAGTCGAGCTCGATATGTTCGTAGTACTTTCGCAGGTCCCAAAAAAATAGAGGCACTAGTCTGACCTCTGGCCGTCCCCGACTCCGCTCTGAAGGCCTGCCTCCAGACAACGCCCCCCGCCCCCCGATGGGCCCCCGCCGCCCAGCAAGGGCGGCTGTGCTGGAGCTCCCAACGGAGAGCTTCAAAACGGCGGCCTCTGCCCCAGACGCGATACCAACTCGAGAAGATCCCAATGGGTCGGAAACCCCCACACGCCTTGGCCAACAAAGCGACCAGCACCCAAGAGAGCTGGACAGGCAGGGACCCCGTGGCCCCCATGACCGAGAACCAAAGAGACATGGCCATCAGAGCCTCGTCCGAGAGCAGGCTGAAATGACGACAGTGGAAGCCGCCCAAGCTGACAGCAGAAGCGGGCCGATATTTCTTAGGCATGGCCCTGATGATGTCGGGCTCGAGAGGGGGAGGGCATGGCAATAAATCCTTACCGCGCAGGCCCTGGCCACCACCGCCCCCCCACATGGAGACGAACTTGGCCGATTCAGCCTTGAGCAAAGTCATGGGATCTGACGCCACGACGCCCGAGCGGGAAAGAGTCGTGGTGGGGGCCCAGGCAACAGTGCCCCGAATAGCCTGCTGCGCATTGCGCGACCCCTTCTCGAGCCCCTGACGCACCCATTCACTCCAAGCCTTCCGAGAAGACTTGGCCACGGATGCCTTAGCAGTAGCACAGGCTTCAGAAACAACGCCGATGTGCCGATCGAGGTCCGCGGCCAGCTCAGGATCATCCACCGAGCTAAGCATGCTGCGCGCTAAGCCAGCGGCAGTGCGAAACAGAGGCGCACAGGCTGAGTTCTCCACCACAGCCACCGTCGACGGCGGCTCCGCGAGCGCCGCCAGCACCTGACGGCCTCCCTCTAGAAGGCCCTCAGGGCTCAAGTAGCACCTGGAAGCACGAAGTTGACTGCTCAGCCAAAGCACCGACCTGGGGGCAGGGTCGGGCTCACGGCCGCCTTCCTTTAAAATGCCTTTCCAAAACATCTGCGGCCGCTTCGCTCTGGCCCCCTTGGGAACCTTCACCCCCAAGATAGCGCTGAGGTCACGCTCGGCCGCGTTGGCCCACGCACGGTACCCAGGGGCCAGCAAAGCACGAGCACGATCACCACCACCCTCCTGCACAAGCCTCACGCGCAAGCCCAAGCGGGACCCCCCGCGACCCAGGCTCAGGCTGCGGGCCAACCGGCGGCACCACAGGAAGGTCAGGCGGTCTTCGAAAGGCGAGAGCCTTGAGATCACCGGCAGACGCATGAAAGCGCAAAGACACAGGCCTGTGAGGGTGGATGGGCGAGTCCCCTCGCACATAGATCTGCTTGAGACCGAGGGAGAGGCATGGGAAACAACGAAAAAATCAAAGCGCTCAGGGGGGCCAACGCTGGGGAAATGGGCATGCCCTTGGGAACTGACAATCACCCCATTGGTCTTCGCCTGGAAGCCCGAAGCCGCCAAGGTCTCTGGGGGGAAATTCCAGTATGCCCCCATGATGAACTCACACTCAAGGCCCCCTGTGAACCCCCCCACAGATTTTAGGATAGACAAGTTGGCCTCTGACAGACCTTCGCTGCGGCAGAGGTAGAGGGAGAGGACGCAGAAGTTGGCGCACCCTGGCACGTGCACCATGGCACATATCGCGCGGCCCTCGGCCAGCACGGTCCTGTCCTGGTGCTCAAACATGCCGAGCGCGTCACGCACGAAGATGCCGACCCCAGAGGAGGTGCCCCCACCATCGCCAACAAAACCTGGGGCCCAGAGCGACTTCCATCCCAGATACTTGGCCCCTTTCGAGGCCGTGGCAATATCGTCGCCCCCACGCGGGCGATGCTCCTGAGCGATAACGATATGCGAGGCACTGCTCATAAGGTAGCCTTTCAAGGTGCCCCAGCTGTTGGCGTTCACGGTGGACGCCAGCAGGCCTTCGTCGAGCCCGCAACTCTGTGGCCTGGCAGGACCAGTCGTCGCTGGAGGCGCAGGGGTGGGGGCTGACCAGTCAATAGCCCCACCCCGACTGGAGGCCCGGACCGTACTTGCTCCAGCAAAAAAGTCGGATTGCGGCAAGCGTGCGACCGCAGCCGTGGCTGCGGAGCCATCGCTCAACGTCTGACCTGCCAGACCAGGGAGAGGTGAGGGACGAGGATCAGGGATTTCACGGTCCCCTGGGGGCACAGGATGAGGGTCCCAAGGAAAAATTGGAGCAGGAAAAAACTCAGATCCTTGAGACAAAGAGTGCATCTTGCGCGCCAAGCGCAAGCCAGACTTCTGGACTGAAGAGCCGATAGATGAAACTCGATTCGCCAAAAAGTTTAAAAAATGGAACCAGTCATCCGAGCTCGGAGTGCCACGAACCAAACCACTAGGCCCCCCCCCCCCTCAGGCGAGGGGGGGGACACCCCTGACAAATGCTGGTCAACCCGAGCTCGGATGTCAGTGGCTGCAGCGGCTGCAACGGGCCTCGCATCAGGCTGAGTTGCGGCGCCTGGCTCAGAAGGCGCAGCAGCTTCTCCTCCCCCTGCGGCGGAGCCACGACCTGCGTCGCCAGCGCCCTGAGCAGGAAGTCCTTCGCCATCGTCTCCTTGCGCCGCTTGCGCTGCAGCCGCAATTTGTGAGCCTGATGAGCTGCCTTGACCTCCGCAGCCGTGGAGGTGAGCTGCTCGAACAGAGACTTGGACAGGTCCTGCACACCCGTCTGCAACTTCCCCAGCCTCGTCTGCTACTCCTTGCGATCCCCCTCAGTGACATCGTACTCGCTGCTCTCGAACTCCTCCATGATGTCAAACTTGATGATACTCGTGAGATCGAACTTGCCCTCCATGATATCCCGCAGCGGGATAGCTGGGGTGCTGCGCGGCCCAGACTCAGCGCCTGCACCCTTCGTTCCGGCGCCGCTGCAGTCACGAAGCCGTTCCACTGCTGCTTTGTACTCCTCATCCGCCTTGCAAAGCTGGTCCCGCGACTGCCGCACCAGCTCCTCCAGCTCTGCGGTCTCCTGCTTCCATTTGAGCAGGCGAGTGAGCTGACCCTCGAGCTGCTTCTCCATGCGGCGGACTGCTGCATGCTGCTGCTGAACCAGCTGATGAACATTGATCTCCGTGGGCTGGCTGGCAGCCTCCAGGCCGGCCGCCACATCAGCATAGTATTTACCCCTCGTAGCATTTCCCGCCTTGTACGACAGGGAGGCCATCTGCTTAGCCTCTTCGACAGAAAGAGCAGGAACGGGTCCAGCGGGGAGCGGCGGGGCACTCCCACCCTTCCCTGCTGGCTGCAGCTGACCTCCTGGGGTCGAACCATGCCACTCGAACCGAAATGTATCGTAGAAGCCCTTGCCTTTGCCCTTGCCGTAGCCCTTGCCTGCAGCCCCTCCTTTGCACCCCGAGGGAGTGCCAAACCACCCAGGCGGTCTCGACCAGTAGGACTGAGCACGAGGGCCAGAGCGACCAGGAGTAACTGGAACTTGGGGAAGCGTGCCATGACAGTTTTTGCACCACTTCGCCGAGGGAGCGTTCTTGCGACAACCACACCCTGGGCACTTGCTGGGCGACTTGTAGTTGTTTTGCCACTTGCCACTGCCCTTGACCTGCCACTCCCCTTCAGGGTTATCACCCTCAGATGATTGCACCCACGGGTTATACGTGAAACGAGAGGAAGTAGGAACCATCGGGGATGTGGGCAGGGAAAGTGACAATTCGATAGCCTGAACGTGATGTGAAATGTACCTGGCGGGCGAACGCCAGGGAAAGCGGACGGGGGCCGCGCAATCCCCCCTGCCAAACCTCAAATCCTTGAGCAACCGCTACGGACTTGAGCCAAAATGGCTACGGAGCCTCCTCCTCCTCCTCCTCCTCCTCCTCCTCCTCCTCCTCCTCCTCCCCCCATGCTCTCCTGCTCCTTCTCCTCCTCTTCCCCCTCTTCCCGTCCTCCCTCCTCCCTCCTCCCCTCCTCCCATTCCTCCTCCTCCCTCCTCCTACTCCTCCCTTTTCCTCCTCCTCCTCCCCTCCTCCTCCTCCTCCTCCTCCTCCTCCTCATTCCCTCCTCCTCCTCCTCCTCCTCCCCCTCCTCCTCCTTCTCCTCCCTCCCTCCTCCTCCTCCGTCCTCCCTTCTGCTCTTTCTCCTCCTCCTCCTCCTCCTCCGCCTCCGCTCTCCTTCTCCTCCTCCTCCTCCTCCTCCTCCATTCCTCCTCCCTCCTCCTCCTCCTCCTCCCTCCTCCATCCTCCTCCTCCTCCTCTTCCTCCTCCTCCTCCTCCCCTCCTCCTCCTCCTCCTCCTCCTTCATCCCTTCTCCCACCTCCTCCTCCCTCTTCCTCCTCCTCCTCCTCCTCCTCCTCCTCCTCCCTCCGCCTCCTCCTCCCCTCCTCCTCCCTCCCCCTCCTCCCTCCTCCCTCCCTCCCTCCTCCCTCCTCCCTCCTCCCGCCTTCCTCCTCCTCCCCTCCTCCTCCCCTCCTCCTCCTCCTCCTCCTCCTCCTCCTCCTCCTCCTCCTCCCTCCTCCCGCCTCCTCCTCCTCCTCCTCCTCCTCCTCCCGCCTCCTCCCTCCCTCCTCCTCCTCCCTCCTCCTCCTCCTCCAGCGAGCCGTGCACGGCCACCGTCGTGACGCCCTCGCCGCGGTGCCAGCGGTAGGCCAGCCGCGTGTGGCCCCGCACGGCCGGCCCGCCGTCCGCCGACTCCCACGCCACCACCGCGTGCCGCACGCCCGGGACGGACATGGCCGGCAGAGGCAGCGGCGCGGCACGCGCACGGGCCGACCCCGACAGCTTCGGTGGCAACCCACTGGTTTTTACCTACCAGACCACCCCAACCCAACCCGAAGGCCCGAGTTTCGGGCTCGGGGGGATGTGCGGGCTCCAGGGCAAATGGAGGTCTTCGGGTTGGGCTGGGGTGGTTTGGTGGGTGGCAGCTCCTGGGAGCCTCCCATGTCAGCTTACCGGCTCCCGCGAATCGGCGCTGACAGACGCTAATCGAGGCTCCATCGACGCTACGTCCGCGCCTTCTGATCGATTACGAGGCGCTTGCGTAGGCGAAGGTACCTTAAAGACGGAAGTGTAAGGACAGACAAGGCTCCCATGAGTCCAAGAGTCGAAAACAAGCTGGTAAGCTTAGGTATACAGTCCGCCTTAGGCGCTTCCATATCCCAGGCTTAGGCACATAGCGCATGAGCAAGAGAGCGAGACGAAGCATGGGATCTGGAGTAAAGAGTAGGATGGGCATCGTCAATGGAAAAGGATGTTTTCCGATCTCGGATGCTAGTAGTGCGCCTCAGTGAGGCACAGTCACATATCTGGCCGGGCCCGGCTTGAGCCAGGCACGGCAGCGGTACATGCTCGATTTATATCTCGCCTTTAACCTTCTCCGTTTAAAGTCGGAGGGGGAGGAGACGAGCAGGTACCGCACTTCTATTATGCGGAAAAACAGTGCTAAGCAGCAGCGGCTGCCTACAAGGAAAGGGCGCGCGAGTAGCCTCGCTACCGGCGAGTTTCCTCGCTATTAAAGCGCACCTGCCCGCGGGTTTCCCCGCTAGCTCGGGAGGCAGGGCCGTCCTGAGACGACCTGCCCGCCCTATACGGCGTATGTTTCTTCAGCTCGTGCTTTAAGGATTGCTGGCCGGCCATTACTTGTAGGAGCAACGCGCGGTCAATACTACCTTTGGTATGACCATCGGCAGTCATATCCCGCGTGTCACACCATTGGACGCTTTCCACGATTCCACGTTCCATCATCTGGCGAATCCAGCTGATGTGCCCAAGCAGAGTGCACTCTGTGGGCTTCTTCAGATCCTTGCTAGACAAAGATTTGAAGACAGACTCGGCATCAATAGTCAGAGTGACTTTGATACATAGAACGCCCATTTCCAATATGTTCTTCAACTGTGTGGGGGTCAATGGTCCCGAGTGTAGCTCGTGGAGCGTTACAATGGTCGGGTAGCAGTCTTCCAAGTTGTGGCTGCTGCCAGTGTTTCCGCAGAGTAGCTCGAACGCACCTGCAGTCGATGAGACTTGCAGTATGCGTCCACCAGGTGCACGACGGGTTTCCCCGCTTGCGTGTGGCCACGCCTCAGCAGGTTAGCCCCGCGGATACCATAGCCTTTGACTTCGTCGTCTTCATCTCCGTTGAGTCGACGATAGCCAGAATCGCTATGCAGGTCGACTTCTCCTGTTGGAGTCATAGCATGATACACGATCTTCTTCGGGCCTGCCTGCAATTTTCTGGTAACCGCGTTTAGTCGTCGTACCTGATGTTTGTCGGTTCTTGGATACGTTGTAGTGAGACAACATAGACCATTAGCCATACCTGCGTGATCAACGCATAGGCTAGAGCGCCACGAAGACTAACGAACATATCAGAAATTGTCTTCGTCGCCTTGCTTTCAGGATCAGCTCCTGTGAGTTCTGGGTGTGTGATAGGACGAAGCTGTTTGATGTATTCGTCCTGATCGAGAGTGACGCTCCCATCATCGGTCTTGTTGTACCGAACAGCACAGTTCGTGTATGTGTGCTTGTTCAGTTTGCACTTCCCAAACGTATCTTCAACACACTTGACATACTTGTCGATAGCCTCTTCCTTCCCAGTCATATTGATGTCATCAACGTGCTTGGCTGTCAAGAGGTTTTGGCTCATCTCGAATTCTTCGTCGTATGAAGTAGGCTGTAGCCCAAAGCTCCTAGTGATGGACCTGAGCTTCAGCGAGAACGCCCTGGGAGCATCCTTCGTGCCTGTCCCCGGTTTCAGACACCGGAGACAATGCTTTGATTCGTCATATGACTCCAAGCCTGGCAGTGTGCGAAGGACAGCTGCTGACCCAGGTGGTAGTGTGAAACACACCACACGTTCTTTCTCGCCCGTTGCCGCGGCGAGCTCGCCATAGGTCAGTCCCTTCAAGAAAGCCATGTTGATGTCCAGGGAAGCGATGATCCAAGCTTTGTTGCATGCAGCAGAACTTGCGAGCAGTCTCCGGCTTGACCTCCTTGCCGTGCCGGAGAAGGTTTCGACATCAAAGGCTTCGAGGTCCATGAAGCCACGGAGTACCAAGCGTAACCGGATCGTCCTTTCCATTTCGCCCTTTTCGTTCTTGACAAACTTCCATTTGTATACGTAGCGTGACGTCATGATGTTATACGCCTTGCTTAAGTCAGTCATCTGGAAGCATTTGTTGTCAAGCCAAGTCTTCAGCTCTGTGTAGAGGGCTTTGGAGACTTTGACCGGATTTGCTTGGATGTCGGCCTTCGTGAGTAGATCGTCTTCCTTGACGACCACGGCACGTTTGGAGGCAGCGCTAACGTATACTCGCATAGTTGTGACGCTGCTGTCATCCAACAGTCGGTGTTGCTGCTCGGACAGGACGACTTTGGACATGTCTGCAGTGAGGCAGAGCTCGATATACTTCCCGTGCTCATCGGAGTCCAGATCATATTTGCTATCCGGTTCCGTGGAGCATAAAGGAACGTAGTAAGAAGTGTCCATGTCGTATCCTGCGGGTGACCCCGCTCCGGCAAGTGGCCTTGCACGTCTTCACAGGTCGTAGAGACTAACACACACTGTGTGTCTGTCATGTATGTAGGAACTGTATGCATGACTTCCTCTGTTTCAGCTTCAAGGAGTGTTCTGTCATCCATCAGTTCAGCATACCACGACTCCAAGACAAAAGCATCCAGATCTTCTTCTGTCTCCTCTATGATAGTCGGGAGTCGACCATCGTTGTCCGTAGGAGGCTCCTCAGGAGCAGCTGCTGGAGGTGATTCGCTTGGTGGTGGACCATCAGCGAGTTCCTCAAACTTAGTGAGGTCTTGGTCAAATCCAGCAGACGGCTTCCTGGATTTAAGACACTGGATGATGCGTGAGTGTGTGATCCTGTGATGTCATAGATGTTCAAGGCAGTGCCATCAGCTTCGTAGTAATGAAACCCAGGGGTCACATCGTTATCATAGTGCACTAGTGTACAGCTGTCTGCATAGGGTGCAGCAGGCAACTTCGTCAGGCTCTTGGCGAGTCGTACAGCAATAACGTTTTCAATACGAAAGTAGTTGCGTATGAGGTACTGAAGAGCCAAGTGCACCTTAGGTGAAAGTCGGCTCGCAGCAGTCATCTGCAGCCGACCCTGTTTCGTTGGTAGATATCCGAAAGTCATGGCGGGTTTCCCCGCTGGCAGACCGGCAATAAGGGCCAATACTGTTCGAAGGGCCGTATTGTCCGATCCTATCTCGCGGACCATAAGTGCTTCGATGTACAGTGTGTGTCGTGTGTCAGGATTCTGTACTCGTACTTCGCGATTGCCGACCTTCACGATGACCTGGCCTCGGTCAGGTTCGTTGCGGATGACCGGGTATGGACCACTCCATCCACCCCAGTCGTCTTTCGTGTGGTCGGGCGATGATAGTCCACGAGATCTCCCTCTTTATAGTGAAATTCACCCGTAGCAGTAGTCTTTGTACGGAGAGCCCTGTTCGTCTTGGCAACCGCAGTGGCCTGCGTGATTGCCTCCAGACTAACCCTCCTGATTGTTTCCTCCCTTGAGTGATCTGATGATTCAGTGGGCTGATCATGATCCAAGACGGGGAAATCAGGAAGCATAGCTGGCTGTCTACCATACAGCGCATTGTACGGAGACACTTCATTGTAGAAGGTAAATGCGTTGCTAGCAAACAAGGCTTCATGTAAGAGACGAGTGAAATTGAGAGGGATATGTAATCTATTCAATTCTTCTCCCATCACGTGTAGGAGGTGTCGAAGGATGCCGTTCCTAGCTTCGATAGTTGTAGCGTGTTGGCCACGCGCTCGAATACGAAGCTCTGTTCCCTTAGCCTTAAGGATGGCCTTTGCTGTGTCATTATTCAGTGCTCCTTCCCCATCGGAGTATAGAATTTTAGCAGGGCCATGCTGCATCCAAGTCGTATGATAGGCATCGAGAACAGTATGCATAGCTTTATCAGGAATCTCTGTGCCAGCTGCCCAGCGAATACAACGGTCGATGATGTGAAAAACAATATGTTCCTGTTTATAAAAGAAGAGATCACATTCGACTTCTTCGTTGAAACGTCCTGGCAGTGACACGGAAGGCATCACCGTGTTGCCTGGTTTGTCCCAGGCTCGACATTCTCTACACGAGTCACAAATGCCTTTGATCAGACTCAAACGGGTTTCACCCAGACCAACCTTGGTTAGAATCATCCGCATTTTTTGGCTCCTTGGCATGAAACCATCTCAAGTGGAGTTTGCGGAGTTCTCGCTGCACTACAGCTGGGTCGAAGCTGCGCAGGTTTTGGAGGCTGAGCTGAACGTCGAAGCGAGTCCAATCAGGGAGCCTTGGCCTTGGCCGTGGCTCTGCTAGAGGCTGCGGCGGTGGTGGAGGATCTCCTCCCTCCATGCGTCCGCGCCTTGCTGCAACTTGTGGCAGTCTACGGTGATCGTCAGAGCTGCCAGCGCCACTGTTGCCACCATTAGCCCCGTCGGCTCTGGTGATATCATGGCTGCTGGCGCCTGCGGGTGGATCGCCCTCACCAGGCCGTGGCGGCCTAGGCGCGCGTATGCGCGCTCTCGCGGCCGGCGCCGCTTTTGCGGCTGGCGCCGCTTCTGCGGCTGGAGCCGCATCCGCGGCTGGCGCCGCAGGAGCGGCTTGCCCCGCCGGGCGCGGCTGGCCAAAGTTATCTGGCAGCTTCCATTTTTCGGCGAATCTGCATTGGCCAGATATCTTGGTGTGGTGAGGATTGCTCTTCTGATATTCCTTCTTACAAAAAAAAAAACAAAACAAAAAAAAAAAAAAAAAAAACAACAAAAAACAAACAAAACAAACAAAGAAACAAAACAAAACAAAAAACAACAAAAGAAAAAACAAAACCAACAAAAAAACAAAAAACAAAAACAAAAAAAATTACAAAAAAACAAAAACAAAAAACAAAAAAAAAAACAAAAACAACACAACAAAAACAAAAAAGCTTGGACATTCCCAGTAAAAAATACGTTCACATCATAACCACCGACACATCTTCGGATCCCTACTGTGCTTTGGTGATTGCTTGTAGTTGTTGTCCACACAGCCAGGGCACCCAAGACCGCCAGGTGGTGGTCGACAGATTTCTCCGTTTGGGTGTCTCCGAATTGTTGGGTCGTCCAAGTCGTAGCCAGCACTGTTTGTTACGAACGCATAACTGCGTTCACGATTCGCGAATGGATCGCGACCGTAAGCAAACAGGTCTTTGGCGATTTGCACCGCATCAACGATCAGTGACTGCATTCTGTA